AAGAATCTGGGTACTGGAAGGCCCAAACACCCAAAGCCACTCAGTCTTGCTTGGGTTGAGCCAAAGCCCATTGCGCTCCATCCAAGCCCCTACAGCCTCCAGACACTGAGATAGGACATCCACGGCATCACTTAGACAGCCCAGGGAAGAGATATAAAGTTGGGTATCATCAGCATACTGGTGATACTTCACCCCGAACTGTCGGATCACCTCATCCAGTGGCCTCATGTTGATGTTCAATAAGAGGGGTGAGAGAACCAAGCCCTGTGGCACCCCACACAATAGGGACCATGGACTGGACCTCTCCCCTCCTATCAACACCAACTGGAACTGGAACAACACAGTGCCGCCCACCTCCAACTCCCAAAGCCAGTCCAGAAGGATACCATGATCAATGGTATCGAAGGCTGCTGAGAGGTCAAGAAGAGCAAGAATGAAAGTACTGCCCCCATCCCACTCCCTCCAGAGGTCATCCAAGAGTGCGATCAATGCTGTCCCAGTCCCATATCCTGGCCTGAGTCCTGGCTGAAAGGGGTCCAGATAATCTTCTTCATCCAGAGCCCTTTGAAGCTGCCGTGTGACCACTTTCTCAACAACCTTCCCTAAAAAGGGAAGTCTCCAGTCCTGGACAAAAACTATCCAGATTAGTTGGGTCAAGCGATGGCCCCTTGAGGAGGGGGTATATCAAAGAGGAATTAACCACCGCCCAGACCTAATTATGTGTCCCCTCCTAGGCAGCCTTGACCAGCCCGGAGGGGCACAGATCTAACACAGAAGTGGCTGAACTAACAGCTACAAGAACCCTGTCCACTTCCTCAGGTCCAATGGGCTCAAACTCTTCCCAGATAACCATGCAAGACTCAGCCCCCGTAGCCCCCACTGGCCTTGCATCAAGGCTGGAATTCAATGCAGGGCAGATGCAAGCGACTTTACCTGCCAGATGCTCAGCATATTCTTCACAATGGCCCTGAAGGTAGACCCCCAAATTAATGATGGCTTTATATTTAAAGACTTGTACCTTTTTCTTTTGTGGAAAAGTAAGCAACTTTGAGTCTTCAAAATAAGCAGTATACACTTATTTATATAAATAAATAAGATCATTTAGAATAAAAACAGGAAACGGACACAATATGTTGTACATGTGATTGCAGTGCCCTTCAAAGTTGGGTAATTTACAAAGTGTTTTGTAAAATTGCAAATGAGAAAAATATTTAGTTAGGTTTAACTAACTTGCAGAGCAGCTGGGCAGAGCAGCAACTTACATAAAGAGGAAACAGGGACCTGAGTGATGACCCCATCACTCACCTAAGTGTCTAGAGGTCCAAAGGGGAGAGAACCCAACATGGAGCTATTGTTTTCAGCACCAGCTCCATGACCAGAGCTTGGTTAAATTCTGTGCTGAGTGTCCTGGCTGATATGGATTCATCCTCTTTTGCCCTCATAAAATGCTGCTGGGTCCAGCTGAGAAAAGGAGACCCCAGCCAACCTAGAACTCACCAGAAAGCTGCATCTCGTAGTCCCATGGAATTCATCATCTCCTTTAATTTCCGTTTCTCTCTTGAAACAGTTAGTGCCAAGAAGTACATAAATGGAGAAAAACAGAGTGATATGATCCAAAGGAACAAACCATTTTCTAATTCAATTCCTAGCGTGACAGAAGGTGATCTCATACGGATGCCATTAATAGAAGTCATTTCTTCCCAAACAGAGTGATTGGTGATCAGCTAAAAATAAAGACAAAAACATTTTTGAAATTACTGATAATTTCTTCCATAGGTGATTTGAGATGCTAGGAAAAGCATCACGGTCCTCATCACTTATACTACTACAAGACATGCCTCATTTTATATGCCACTGGTATATATATCTAAATTGATCTCCCTCTGCTGTAGATTTTTAAATATGGTTGCATACCTTGTTTTCTGGCTATATTGTAGATTTTCAGCAATGTATTGTCTTTAAGTGTTTGCCAAAATGTTTCCCAGGTGAAATGGATAAGATGATGGCAATCAAGTAGAAAATATGCAAATACCTATTTCATTTCTTTTCTTTTTTTTTCACGTCTATCCTGCCACATTCCAGAAATTCTCAGGGGCTTACATAGATGATAATAACGTCCATTAAAACATCCACAGTACAACAACCATACAAACAGTAAAACAACACTACCCAAACACAAAGCTATAAGCAATAAAAATAGAAAATAAAAATGGCAATGATAAATCAGGAGAAGGCTTTCTGAAACAACTCAGTCTTTAAAAGCTTCTGAAACATCAACAAGGATAGGCTGTTCCACAGCATTGGTGCTGCCACAGAGTGTCTATGTGTGGAAGGATAAGTCTACACTACCATATATTTTCTGTAAGAGTTTGCTAATATTTGAATTCAACTTTTTTTTCTATGTGTGACAAAGGAGCAAGAAAGAAGACTTTTAAGTACTTTAGTCAATTTATTTTTGGATTTCTTTGTTTATAATGTAATTGTTCAGGCTTCCTTCTCTTTTTCCTTCCATTTTAATTTTATAAGATATGGTTAACTCAGTTATATGCATATCATTTTTTCAGTTAATTTGTTGCCACGATACAGCAACTTAACAATAATCTAACACTGGAACCAAAAGAAAGAACACACTTAGGAAAAGAAAGTGCCTGGATGTGTAAACAGAGGGCACAGTCGGTCATATAGGGCTAGGAAAGATGCATGAGATGTAAACCTCTCCCAGCATGCCTGACCTTTGAGCCCCATCTCTTCTGTCTCTCTTCAGCATTGCTATTCTCCTATCAGAAAAGTTCATTCCTACAACAGCTAGAAGAAAAACTGCTGAAGCTGGATCTCACCACAAGGGTTGGAGTTCTGCCTGGTTTCTAGTCTGATGCCTTAACCACCACACAAAACTGGCTCTCTGGTTTATTTAATGTATACTTACATTATTTCTATGCCCAGCACTTGACTAGGCTCTGGGCAGCTTAGAAGACCTATTCTACAGCCCAGGGAGATCCAGAGGCAGTGAGTGTAGCCCCAGTGCATAATCTGCTATAAGAACCAGTAGGATAAACAACAGCACAAGGTATCGAAATGTATAAGACTGCAAACAAAATTAAAGGAACAGAAGAGTCTCTCAAACAAAACTGAAATAATGTGGGGTGCCACTTTTGCAGATAAAAATAAGGCCTATCCACTTACTTCAATAAGTGCACTATCGATGCTAGATTGCAGCGATACAAAGCCTTGAGTCCAGTACACTGGATTATCGCAATAATGTGTAGAGTAGTTGTAACATATATCTACAAAGAAGGGAAAAAGAGAAGCAATCTTTCACAATATTGTATGTAACATCTTGTAAATTAACAGTTCCCTATTAACCAGGAAAAAGTTGGAATTTCATTGGGCTGTGGTGATCTCCCCAAAGATGGTTCACTTCACTGAAGCCTTGAATGAAGCAACCCATCAGAGAGGCTCAAGAAGCAGTGAGTCTCCTTCTCTTCTAAGAACAAAGAGAGGGCAAAACTTTCTTTTGCTTCACCTGCTTCACTGACTTCCTCAGGCACCTGAAATAGTTCCAAGAGATTTTTGTGAACTTGCACAGAGACTTCTTACAAGTGTGACTGAAGCTACGAGGTGGCTGCAAGGCAGTGAACTACTGAGGCAAATCAAAATTACCTCACGATAGTACACAACACTCAGTTCAATACATCCTCTTATATAAAGTCAAGAAGAAAATGGGAGCTGTTTCTCCTTATTTCCATTCAAAATATTCCTTGGATTTGAAAGCTGTAATTTAACTGCTGTTATTATTGAACTGGATCAAACATATTTACAATGACCATACTTTTTGGAAAAAATAAAGGACAAACCTGAAAAAAGGCATATTTGACAGAAGTTCGTAAGGATTAAAACAATTAATTGTTTCTGTTTATAATTTTGCTTTACTAAGGAAAATTCAAGAGCAAAAGCAAGAAAATAAATAATTAAATTAAACAAATCTGAAGGACAGATTTCTGAAATAAAGGACTGTCCTTTATAATAAAGGACGTATGGTCAGTGCAGACATATTACATATGTGCTTAACCCATCCCTACCGCGTTCAATTCACTTTTATGTTTTTTCTAATACATACAACTCCCACTTTCATTTAACAAAGTGCGCAGAAGTATGTTTTTGGAAACAGCCATTTTCACTTCTTTTGACAAACATTCATTCCTTACCGCAGACCACATGCTAGCCACTACCTTTTGACTAGCATTTGCACATTATTATCCTTATCACTTCAGTTAATAAGCCAACTAACCGCAAAGCAACTCAAGGTGATATACAAAAATATTAAAACATATTATAAAATCAAACAAAGCAAGACCAATAATAATAATGAAAGAACAATGCACCACACCAAGAAAATATAAACATTCATTTCACATTTTCCCTATATATCTATCTTACATTTCAAGTTGCAATCTTCTACGACCATCAATAGATGGGTCCATAAATATTTACCTCAATAGTAAATACTCATGCTTTGGTCAACTAAAGTGATCATATAACACTTCTTAGTAAGATAAAGAAATGTAGACTAGATTCCAAGACACACTCATGCCCCACACAGCAATCCCTGTTAATGCTAAGAACACAATTAAAATGTCTATTTTCAAAATTCTTGCTTAGTCTTCTTCAGTACCATTGTGGCTTTGTTTTGTTTTGTTGTATTCTGGTGTCTTCTCCCATCTTTACATTTCTAATATACATGGAATTATTAAAAAATTGTGAAACACCATCTTCATACATTTATCTGTATGCTTTCCCAGTTTGTGTGCATATTGAGGAAATGTTAACATAAAGAAACCATCATTTATCTGATTTGGGGGAGTGTTTTATCAAGGGGCACACATTCATCAGTAACATAGCGAAACAATGAGATGAAGGAAATCTTTGGTAAGCTCTGCATGATAACCTAATTCTGGGCTGTTTTAAGGATTTCTTTTAAAGCCTTCTCGGTATTTGCTATCTCAGACAGATCTGATAAATGCATTCAAATAAGATTTCTCCAGTCCAAGATCAATTTCTGGTGACTATATGGATACATTCATGTAGTTTGTATTGGCCACAATACAGAAATGTACTGTTTTTATCATCACTATTATATATCACTATTGTATCTTACATTTCATTGTTAAAATATTTTTTTCAAAAATTGCCTTCTTCCAAGTTTTTTTTTTTTTTTTTACTTTCTGATCTATCCTCTGGCCCTGATCTTTTTTGAGGCTTCATGTCCTAATACTAACCTAGCCCAGGCCTGATTACCTTCTGAACCCAGAAAAGTTGTTTAGTCAGCTATCTGTCTATGTGCAAAATCAATCAATAAATCCCAATGATTCCTGTGGGGGTGGGAACTGAAATGCTGCCAAGCCACCAACGATTGCTGGCATGGCTACAGTCAGGGACCAAGAAATGAAACGAGGCAAGATTTTTCACACCCACATGCTCCAGAAAGATGCAGCCCCTCC